TTTGAACCATTTCCTCCTGCTTCAGATAAATTTGACCAGCACTGTAATTAATCTCCTAATTAATAATCAGACCAGTTTGGTTTGACTGTTTCCAACCGTATCTGAAAACAAACACTCCTTTGCACAAACTAATAGCGCTGGCCAGTTAACAACTACATGTAGGATGCTACTTCTAACCTGGAAGTGGAAGGAAAGAAACGGAACTTTCCATGAAAACAGTAGTGGCACTTTCTATCCTACTCTAAAGAAAGAAAGAATGGTGCCCTTGAAGCTTTCTGCTGCTGTTCAGTATTCCTTTCAGTGAGCTGGCTCTGTTCCTAAGCCTCTCTGCTTCTCTTGGGCAGGCAGACAAATCACAATGGATGGTACTAAACAGTCCTCTGGAAGGTTTGTTTAGTACCAGCTGGGGAATTGACTGATTTGCAGTAAACTCATAATGGGAAAAGCTAGTCTTGAGAGACACTAATGAATGTGCTGGAGTCATCTCAGAATATTTTTAAGGAAATGGCTTGAAAATTTTATGTTTGTGCAAAGGAACTTGTTCTACTTTAAACATTGTTTTCATAAAGTTCTCATACTGGTAGAAATTTTTAAAGCTATTATTTCTTAGCCTTCCCCACCCCAATATTTTGGAATTGACAGTGCATTGAAATATTACGCTTTCTCCCAGGCTCTGCATAGCATGCTGCTGTGGGACAGGTCATTTTTAAATTCACCGAACCTGTGACCATGGAACTCAAGCTCCAGTGAAACTTCCAGCTGCTCTTAATTTTTACATTCCCTATCACGGGAAAACCAGATAGGTAAATAGGCTATATTTGCCTCCAAAAAATTTTTTTGCACTCTAAGACCTCCAACTCTGAAAAACCCCACAATTACTTTCTGGCTAATTTCACCCTTCCTGCAGTACCCATAATCACCAAAATGAGCGGCTGTGTGTCTACAGCTCTGTAATGCAGAGGTCAGCTATTCAAATGTGCAGATATGTTGCTGTAGGCCACCTGAAGACCAAGACAAAAGCAGTTTTTGGAAAGTTGGGAACCTTTGATCCTTTGAAATGTGGTGAAGGCAAAGACTGAAGTTCTGAAATCATACATATCCTATAAAGCTCTTTGTGGCACCAGAACCTACAGTTTACTTCTAGTTCAATCCAAAACAGAGAGGATTCCAGGAATCACCCTTTACAATCAGTGCTGACAGCAAAATTTACTACTTGAGTCTGAAGATGTATGTTTCACGGGATAAATGACTAAATCTGACATAAAATGGACAGTTGTTTCTTTACCAAGAAGAACAAATTCTTCCTTATGTAGGTGCAATTTATTACTAAATTCACCATAATCTACTACTTTGCTGCAAAGATGCTACACTCAGAAAACTAAAAATGAATAAAGCAGATGAAAGTCTTTGACCTATCCTCAGTGGAACATTTGGGAGAAAAATCATTTCACAGAACCAAGTCGGGCATACATGATTTTCATTTATTTAACAGTGGTGTCATGAGATTCAGGCATCGCCTCTTGCAAGAAACTCTCACTATCAGAGACTGAGAGGTTATCAGTAGGAGCATTAAAAGACTTTTGTAATTCTGATGCATGATTATTAACTACCCAGGGTAGCAGAAAAAAAATGGTTAAGCAGAGTCAGCAGCATGACGTGTTTCAAGAACAACAAATAAAACTGCAGAAAACCAGGCTGGTCTTGTTTATTTTGCCACTAAAAGTGCAGAGAAACGCACATACAGTGACACCAACGCACAACAGCACTTCTGAGAAGTGTTGTCAGGGAAGAAATAGAATACATGCATTTATTTTCCCCATGGCCACTGTCATAGCCAAATGTCTGAGGCACAAAGATATTCCATTAAATTCACAACGATGCTCCCTTTTGGCTTGCAAGCATTACAACACCTCACAGCTGTGCTGAAATCAGGGTTTTGACTCTGCTCCAGATCTGTGCACACAGGACTGCACTTAAGCACTGCTTGTGGGATGTGCACACAGGACTGTACTTAAACCCTGCCTGTGGGATGAAGAAGACTATTTTCCATAGCTCCAGAAACACTGTTAACTAGTACCATGTGTGCTCCCGCATTGCTACTAGGTTCCACCCGTTCTAACAGTAATCACTCCTCTCATGCCATGAGCTGCCAGGACAGCATCAATATGCAAGCAGCACAGAGAGATCAGATTTGCTACTGTAAATCCTCTTAGTCAAATCAACCAATTTGCTGTCAGAAAGTGAAGCAACAAGTGTCTTGCAGAGGAGAAACAAGTAATTGCAAGGAGGGACTGGCATTACCTTTGACCTAAGACATTTCTTCACAGTGGAGCTGCAGGATGTCAGTGATTATTCCTGAGAGCAAAGTGTAGAGAGTGCGGCTACAACTCAACCCGCAGTGAATGCACATGAAGCTCCCTCTCATGAAGCACAAGCTATGTGGGTTCTTTCGTTTGTGGGGGTTTTTTTGGGTTTTGGTTGTTGGGGTTTTTTTTTGAAAGAGAAAGTATAATCATCACACTATAAATAGAAATGGCTGCACTTGCTCATTTCACTGAAATCCCTGGGAGAGTCAACTGGATGAAGCATCTTTTCCCAGACTGACAGTCTGAATGACAAGCAGCACCCATTTGGGTACTCGATGACAGCTGAAGACGCTCACACTCTGTGTGGTCTGACCAGCAGTGCAATGCAAGGACAGAGTTTAGGGAAAATCTGAACTCAGTTTCTGTCTCATTTAATATCTTTCTATTAATGATCACTGCCAAAACTCAGTCTGCAGAGTCCTGAAGCAGAAGTCTGAAATTAGCCTGCAAGGAGAGGAATGTCTCTCAGAAAGATACAGGAATGAGAAATAAAGTTAAATTACTCATATAAAAATATTGTGCTGAGCACCAATCATGAGAACAGAAAAAGATCCCTCTGACACATGCTCCAGTTGAAGATTAGCCTAATACTAAGTAATAATACGTTGAATAATTAAATAATGTATTAATAATACAATACAATAATACAAATAATGCAAATAATGCATTAAATAATGTATTAATATGTACTACATTAAAAATGGAAAGAAAAATGTTTTCCCAGGAAAGTTTGGTCTGTTATCTCCTTGAGGTTGTGTGTAGAGATCACAATGAAGCATGGTGCAAAGAGCCCTGTGCTGTCCCTGACGACATCTTTTCTAGCAGAAGCAGTGTTGCCAGTGTGATGGCATACCATAACCCAAGAAGCAGAGCTTACTAGCTTATATCCAGCACTGGATCAAATCATCTAGGGTGATTACTATACTCCTGGACCCAGGCTAGCATCTCTGCACAGCTTGCATTGTATGAGACAGTCACACCAGCTCCACACAGCACTAAGCTGAAAGTCTCTTCAGCACCCAAAAACTTTACTTGACATTCACTACTTTCATTCCTTGTGTTTAACATGGGCTATGGAACCTACAAAACCAGCATTGTTTATCTCCCGAAGAAGACTCCAATTCAGCTTTACATAAGTAAGAGTAACTAGGAAAAAATTCTTGGGCCACTGAAAAGTAGTAAAATGCTGATGCAGTGGAGCAAAACCCGAAAGGTTTGCAGCAAACTTTGCCAGAGCAAGGATTTAAACACAAGATACAAATAAAGAGCAACATTCTTATTACCACTTGCCCACCCAATGCTGTATCACTGAATCAAGGGACAAACCTCCCACTAACTTCATTATTACAGCATCAAGGCATGGTAGTGACACTCAGACTCCCATTACAAATGCTGCCTGTGAAAGTTACTTCCCTAAACAATGCCACTATATTTATGTGGGGAAGTTGGAGAAATGTAGGTTTTATTTTTTTCATTTGTAAATTATCTATCACTGCAGCACGAAATGAAATTAAAGTCTTAACATTCAACTGGGCTTCAATACAGAAAAGAATACCGTTACTGCAGAGAATTTTAATAAATTCATGATGTAATCCAATTCAAAACCCGTACTTGTTTTCAGAAAAAGTCTTGTACCAAAAACTATCCTCTTTTGCAGATCCCTTTCACCTTTCTTACCACGTTCTGTGTTACACTGTTTCATGCATTAAAATTACTGCAGACCAAAACTTAAAATGGACTATGGTGCAGGATTCACCTTTCACAAGTGAATACATCACATACAGCTTTAATCAACTTTTGAAGGGGATGCAAAGCAAAGTTAATATAAGAAAGAAATACTAAAGAGAAAGAAATAAAGAGAATAAAATAAAACAAAATGAAGTACATAAAGACACAGTTTGATAGCAATTTATTAATGTAATTACAAACGCAGAAAAGCTGGCTATTTGTGAAATTTGCAGCTTCCTGCACAGAAAATGGAAAAGGGCCAACATTTTGTTAATCAGTAACTGCAATAATCTGTTTGGAATTGCATGTACTCAGCTAATTGAATACTTTCATCTGCTCAGAACAGCTACGTTGTAGCTTATTTGTTGGATAGCAAAGAAAATCAGGTAAAAATGTTAAGAGGATGTGACTGCCGAAAATAAAGAGATTACATATAAAAAGCACATAGCATATTTTTCTTTGTATTGAGAATCTTTCTGCTCATCTAAGCCTTTTAAAGGCCTTCATCAGTCTTTTTAATGTAGCAGCAAATAATCCTGGATATACTGCATGTCCGACCCAGGTTTTACTTCAGCTTTATCCTGTTTCCTTATTTCCAGTAATACATCACCTTTGCATTAGAGCCTCTCTGGAGCCCAAGCAATTCTCAACTAATCACCAAAGAGAGAAAGCTATTGTAAAAGGCTTATCAAGCTCTACCCCTAAATCTTGCATTGTGATTACCTCAGAATAATTACTTCTGGAGATAACTGATGAAGATCATATTAGGCTAAGGCAAAACAGAGACCCAGCTAAGTGTAAATCAATTACAGCTGAAAGGAGAGGAGAAGGGACAAAGATACTACAAGACTGTTGCTATTATTTATAGAGCAGTCATGGAGAATTCAAATAATTTCTTATACTTACAATAGCTGTTGGAGTTGAAGCCAGCACACAGTACAGCACAAGAGGTGAAATGAAGCTCTCATCCTCTGTTCCAGGGTATGGTTTCATCAAATTGCCGTCCTGACAGAAGAAACCTTGGATATGCACCTGAAAAGTATCGGTGCACTCGAAGTAGTAGGCGAGCAGAACAGTCCCAGCCATGATGACAAGCTGAAAATACAGCATGGTCACACAGAGACATTAGTTGCTTTTTTAATAGATGCAGCTATGCCTTCGAGCTACTCTAGTCCTGCAGACCATCCTCCCTTTATCGTCACCCTGACAGCCCTTGCAATAATTGTGTGTGAGTGTGTCTGTGTTTCTGTGCCTCTGCTTTGCAACATCTGTTACATAAACCTTTTGGCAAACGACACTAACGAACATCTCAGATAGGAGTGGGTCCATAATGTGGCTTGTAGAGGGACAGGAGCTTTGATAACTACTTTATCAAAGGGCATGTGAGTGTCAACAGCAGCAACAATCAATGAAAGCTAGCAGGAGCAAACAGTAGTGACAAGCTAAAACCTGTGCACAGCGGTAGGGAGCCGGAAAGGATTATTACAAAGGATAAAGGAAGCTAAAGCCAAAATGCTTCCCCGCTGCAGCTGTAAACCCATGCTGGGCAACATGCACCCCATGCTAATCCAGAAGAGCCCTCTGTGTCGCAGATGAAGACTCATCCAGAGGGAAATCTGCCTCCTGCCACTCACCTTTCCTTGGAGCTTCCTTTAGAAGTCTGCTTAGAAATCCTGACTCCCTGGACAACCATTTGGGGCTACTGTGCACTGCCTGACTTCCCCACTCCATCACAACTGCTTTTCAGAATGACTGTAGCTTGAGTCTGCATCTTCATCGTTATGCATATAAACTGCAAGGTGCCTTTCTCGTCTCTTTTTTTGGTAGCTTATTGCTGGCTAAATGCACTAGTTGGAAAACCTGAGCCATCAACTTTTTTTGTTTATATCTACAGTTACTGCACATGAGCTATTGTCAGTGTCTGTGACCTGATTCAGAATCCTCCTTACAGAGACTAGTGCCTCCTGCCACTATTAAAAGAGTTGTCACGTACACAAGTTATCTTGTCACACCATAGCAAATAATAGTAATAAAGAAAGTGAAACAACAAACTCCAAAGTGGCTTGTTTTTAGTATTCTGCCTCCAAGATTTCTGCTTTAAAACTGTGTTGCTGTGAGATTATTTAAGAATAGATCTTTGAAAAATAATTTTGGCAACTCTGTATCAAAGATACACTTAGAAGCTATGCATGCATTCCTCTGTCCTAGCCTTGCACATATGCTGACACACAAAACAGACATTAAAGTAATTCTATATTTGAGTGGGCGTTGGACTAAGAGAAAACATGAAATCAGAGAAATCACTGATGAAAGTAGAATATCACAGAATCACAGAGTGGTTGAGCTTGGAAAGGACCTCTGGAGGTCACCTCATCCACACCCCCTGCTCAAGCAGGGACACCTATAGCCCGTTGACCAGGATCACATCCAGATGGTTTTTGAGTATCTCCAAGGATGGAGACCCCACTGCCTCCCTGAGCAACCTGTAAGATAGACTTGAGCAGGGCAAAGTGAGGCCAAGTGAGAGATTCTGCACTCTCCTCCATTTTTTAACCTTCAAAATTAACAATATCATTTTGTAGTCAGATTCTAAAAAACACAGATTAATTCCACCCCTGGAAAATACAGCCTGGATTGTTTAATGTTTTTAGCTCAACCAATTAGCTCTATGGATTTGAACACCAACTTCTGCTGATTACAGAATTATGGTATAAAGTTAATCTATATAGATAATGCACATAGGCCCTTTTTAGAAGCTTAAGCAAGTAGGAATCTACACAGTTATTTCCCCCAAAGATGCTTATTCTGTCTTTCTCCCATCCTGATTTACTGCATGACTCTAATATATTAAAAAAAAAAAAAAGTTAATTAAGCATTGATTTTCTGAAGATTTTGGCTTCTTTCTGATGATTCAGTAACTTTAAGATCCAGAACTTTGAAATCTACCACCCCACAATGAATTGCAGATAAGCTAACCATGCATGGTCAGTACAGGGCAGTTGCTCTCTGCTGCTCCTTCCTGCTCACACTTCTCCTGTGTCCTGTGGTGTCCACTGGAGACAGCTCTAAACTCAAAAGATTTAGTCTGCGTATTTTTTGCTATGCAATAACTACCTCTAAAGGTGTGTGAACAAAGGTATTCTCTCATGTAATTTTATCTGGATCATATAATTACAGCTTCAGAAGGAACTGCTAGAGTATTCAATTTCTTAAATGTGTAGCTGAAAAACTACTAACTTTTTTCAACTTTCATTGTTTATCCCAACATTTTTCAAGACCCCATACCTGCCCAAAAGTATTTTTTTTTTCAACAAATGTAAAGCAAGACGCTGTTATTTGTGTATTCGCCAGAGACCTTTACAGCACCCTGGATGAGTCAGTGGGATTCCCTATAAACAAACACAGTCCTATAATTAGGGACTTAGAAGACGTGAATTTAACTCCTTGAGCAGCTATAGATTTCCTGATCAATCTTGGGCAACTCAGTTTTATAAATTAATATCAGAGGAAGGCAATGACACTATTACTACTCTACCTGACATGCCCAGATAAATATGTTTGATATTACAGAATGCCTGTATACAGAGGTACTTAAGCTTAGTTCCAGCACCTCATACTCCCAGGGCTGTCAGAAGCAATATGACCCACCCTTTCCATCCCAAACATGGGGTCCCAGACATACTTTAGGTTGCCAGCCCCAGCCAGTATACACAGGAAAGGGAACAGGAGATGGTACATTAGAGACAGCTGGTTTTTCCCCCATTACTGGGAAAGAGAGAAAGTAGGTACTGAACTTACAATCTTCTTTGGGTGTCATATGGAAAAAAAAGCTTTTCAAAAAATGGGGTTTTTTGATACTGGAGGAAAATTTCCCTTATCCCAAATGTGGTCTCTAGTCAGTGGTTGCACAACTAACTTTGACCTTCCCAGTGTCAAATGCTGCCTCAGTGCTGCATGAAAACCCCTTGTGTATATAAAATACAGCTCTAGTCTGACTTCTGCCAATACTGACCTACAACAGCACAGACACCTCAATAATAAAGCCAGTTTTATTCAGAAAATAAAACTTCAGTTTCTGGGTTTTATTCTTTTAAGAAATAAACCTCACATTATCTGCAAAAAAGATTTGAATTGTGAAAATAACAGATCCCATAGGTGAGGCTCACAATCTCAGGGAAACAGCAACAGCAGACATCAGAAATTAGACCTCCCACTCAACAAAACCTACCACAGTCCCATAATGACAAGGGATAACATGAGGTACAGAAAGGACAGTCCAGGTATTACCATGAACATGAGCAAAATTTTTGCTGCTCATACAGTCAATGAAGACCTGACCACATCTGTGTGGCATGTCCCTATGACTCATGTTGAGTAATTGCTGCTCTAAGCAGCTTCTCAGTAAAAGGCAAAGACATGGAGAACTTTTTCACTTCCCCTACCCCTTCCTCTTCCCCTTCCCCTTCTTCCCCTTCCCGACTATTTCATATGTATTTATTGTGGCATGAGTGAGATTTTTGGTCATTTGTGCAGGGGAAATTTTAATTGTAACGGCTCTGCAGTGGTAATCTGTGACCAACGAATGATTGGCACAGAGGGCAAGAAAGCTCAACTGCAAGAAGGGGTCAAACGGCCTGGCAGCAGGGATGCCAGAGGCAGAAGAACTCCCTGCAAGGGAGTGAAGTTTCCCTTGGTGATAGGAAACAGATGCAGTCTTGCAGCCGTCCTGGAATGGGAGCTCTCACAGGCCCAAGTTCAGGGGCCACCTCTGTGCAGCAGAGCTGGGTGGACTCATGGCTGGGCTGAGGTGACCCATGCAACTGTTCTAAGGATAAATGCTGCTGCATGTGTGCATAAGGAACCAGCTCCTGATACATCTTTGCAGACTCCTTGTAGAACTGCTTACAGCAGTAGGACTCTGCCCCATACATTGTTCATTAATTTTTTCTTCATATTTAAGAACAAATGTGTGTTTAATTTCCTTTGATGGGTACCATAAAAATTTCCTGATAGTTGTTTTGATTTACTGGTCACAGATGCCTTAATCAACTTCAGTCCCCTAACCTTTTTTGATTTCTAAAGCTAGGACCTAAAATGACAAATGCAAAAATCCCTAATTTTTTGTAGCCACAGTCAGTTTGTAGCAAACAAAGACCAGACTTAAGATAAAGATACGAAAGATCCAGCCACATAATTCAGGAAACACAATGACGTTTAACACTGATGTTTTGCAGGGTTTATTTATTAATTCTTATCAACTCATTTCCTTGAGTTTACTTGGGAAAAATTTAAAAAGCTCAATAATTCAGTTTAGAAAAGCAGTCAATGAATAGAAGTGTCTAAGGTGCTTAATGGCCTCCATTACCACAGTATTTAACCGTGTCATAATCCTTAATATTTATCATCACTACTCCATTGTAAGATAAGAAAATTCTCTTATCACCATTTTACAGAGAGGGGACAAAAGCAGAGGAGATAAAATGACTGCCCTTAGGTCACAGTAGAGCCTGTGGCACAGCCAAGATTTACCTTTCTTCTGGACCAGATTTTTATGGATTAGTCAATAATCTGCACATGAAAAAGCTCAATGATATACGCTTAGGTCCTGACTCTGCACAAGCTCATTCATGGTAGCGTTCATGTGTCTGATTCAGCTCCATTTAAAAAACTGCTGCTTGATTTTAGATCAAGCTTGACAAGCTGGACTCAAACAACTGGTATGTGTTTTTTCCTCAAAGCCAGCTATTTCAATGGATTAATTCTGCAGCACTTAACACCTGTGCCTCCCCACACCATTAAATTCTGCACTGTTTTACAAGCCCACACTGATGCTGTCTTTGCAGTGCTTCCTATCACTGAACACTTTTGGTCCTTTTTAAGTTGTGGGAGTTCTCTGCAATCAAAAAGTCACTTTCTTAAATGTCTAAGAAATGTGAAGCAAGTCTTGCAGTCTTCCTTGGGCAATTGGTAATTGCTTAGTGTAGGTGCTAATCAGGTATTAGTGTAAGATTGTGTCCTGACTATAAGGAAAGAGAATCGTCAAAGTAAGCAGTACAACTCACACTAATCCCAGATCTACTGAAATACATCCAGAA